TGACACAACTTTGTGTTCAAGAAATTGGACAGCTCGTAAATTCAAGCAAAGCTCAATATGGTGCAGAAACTGTTTTAAGTAAAAGTATAGGAAAGCAGTCGAAATCGTCCAAATTTTAAAACTACTTCTCATGTGATCATAGCTTTCAAATATGCCTCTCTAAGGATGATGACTGTGTAATTAGGAAACCGTCATATTTTAATTGATAACGAAGCGAGATAGTTCTGTTCCGAAAAAAGTTCAGATCCCTCTCAAGCTACCGCTTCTTAAACATCGTGAAGCCAAGTGATCATGCTCTTACTTAACTGAGAAAAGACGAGGGACGAGGTCAGTCGATGAGACGCTCTTACCCCTTACCAGGAAGTAAATCATACTATGGATTTGAAAATCGCAACTACAATTCTCCCAAACTCATTCTCTCAAAATAAAATAACTTGTCAGATGTTTCAGCTTTAAAGAAGATGTTTGAATTCACATGGGATTTTTCTGTCGGACTCGACAGTTTGTCAATTGACGGCAATGAAATGGAATTTAATTATTTCATATCCATGGAATCCCTGCCGAAAAACAATCTGTGATTTCGTTGAGATATTAATTCATATGCCCAGATTACAAATGATAGAGAACTCACCGGATCCCAAAGGAATAAGGAAAGCGAAGAAAGCCACTCGGAAGTACAGCCCGGTATCAAACTCCGACATTTCGCCGCTGTTGTTACTTCATAACTCATAAGACACTGAAACATTGCAGACACCTGATGTTTCAGTTCAATAACCTTTTGCATCTTAAAAAGCTCATTCTCTCCGTTGAAGCGTATCTGCCAAAATACAACTAAACCCATATGGTATGTATTCCCAGAGTTTCAGCAGTGTGCAAAAAGACGACGCGTTGACGGTATGGGATCACTGGTTCCTCTATTTTAAAGGGATGATCTACAAGCATAAATCAACGGAAGCAATCATGAAATCTCAAAAGAATTTCCGAATAAAAAAAAAAAAGACTTGAAAACTTTCTACAACAATCGCTGGTGTTTTTCCCACAACTGTTGCACTATTACAGGAAGTCTAAATTATTTCTTTGTTTTTCATTGTTTCTTGGTGCAAACGTTACTGGTTATAAAATAAACTTGTCAATCATGATTTGTGTGCTAAAACATTTAAAGCTAATTTTTATTAAAATAATATCTTTTGTAAGAATCTGGAAAAGGCAAACTTATGCTCAAATGTCCTGCGTGGGAATGTTTTTTTCACTTGTGTATCTTGACAAGGTAGGGCCACAGTTTATAGAGAATCTCTTAAGAAACTCTTTACGGTGGCCAATTTACATTACCAACTCAGTTGATAAAACCAAATTATCTGGTTATACCCCCTACCGACTTAGCACCACAGTTTCTTTAGAAGCTTACCTCCTTTATTTCTGTTGGTCCCACGAACTGATCGGTCTGAATATCACTTTCACTGACCATCTTTGTTCTTCTTTTCCTTTTTTTTTCTTTGCACCTCATCTCTTGTAAACCAATCACTTCCAATTTAAATATCCATTTCAATTTTTTAAAAAACTTATTCCTTCGCAAAAAAACCCTAGGATCTCTGTATTCCTAAGATTTACGACAGAAACACAGATTAACAGACCAGTGAGAAGATACGAAACCGTAAGGTTTAACTGATATCGCCAGTGTTTTATACCATGTTACGTTATACCCGAAAACTGTTCGAAAATGTTCGAAAGTAGTTGTTTGACAGCACAGGACGTTAACCTACAGAGGCGGCGGTTTTTGGCTCATCAAGGCAAGTGGAAACCCAAGCCCCTCCTTATTTTACTCCCCTTGAAAAACGAAAAAATTTCCTCTGTTCTGCAGGAATTTATAGCTTGATCTGCCTCAGGGAAGAAGGCACAGAATCACTTGCGGGAGGGGGGGGGGGGGGGGCCCGATCCAATTGATCCCTTTACTTCATCTTGCTTGGGGTGATACAAAAAGATGGGCACTGGTCGATCGGTTTAATAAGAGACGATCAGATTCAAGGTTTAGGTGTTTTTTTAAGCCACAGTAACCAAGTTAAAACAAATAATAGGAGCAACATACTTGATAGATTTCATTTTTACACGAAAAAGGCACACGTCCTTTGCTGACGTCAAAAACCTTCTTTTATTGGTGAGACAAATCAGGTGGTGAATCGGCCGAGTCAACGACGTCACACTTCAGACTGATATTGTATCGACATCTTTTTGCGACTGCTGTGGAAGTATTTGTCACAAGATCTTTAGTAATATTTGAAGCCCATGATGTGGTTGTATATCTAACACTATCCAATGTTTTCAGTTGAACTACTCAAAGATTTGGTCGTCGAATTTCTATCAAGAGGAAGAAAGGCGATTTAATGTTACTGATATTTCTATTTTTGCTTACATTTTCCAGAGGCAAAATAAACCATTCACTTAAAATATAAATCAGAAAATCCATACATTTTCCTTCAAGGCATCGTTTGCCCGAAAAGTTGCCGACATGGACTGTGGAAAGACAAAATAAACATTTTCATCGGTACAATGCTTTATTCAACTCCTACCACGGTATTGAAATTGGTTGTTCTATTTAAAGAGCACTTTCTCCTGGCTGAGCATCTCTTCGACTTCCCATAAACTTTACCCAATTCTTAGGCCACAATTCGGGGTTAATCGTTTCCTCTTAAGACCGACATGGCGGAAAGTGACTTATAGTCATTTCAAAATTTTCCTTTCTGCATTCTACTGCTTGTAATTTCATTGATAATGAGCGATTACCAGTACATCAGATAATTCAGTTGTCATTCGTTATTCCTACAATTTGTATAAAAGTTTGTATTTTTCCGTGCCCTGTTAATATGTGGGCGAATGTCATCAGGTACACAACAAAGGCAAAATATAATAATGCAGTGTGGAAGCGGTTAGTTCTGCTTTTTCCTAATTCTTGCTTTGTTCAATTACACGGTCGGTTTTTCACGAAAGTTCTTTATGAGTTAGTCTCTTACGAAAATTCATCATGTGGTTACCTTTTACGAACGTTTTGATGTTTGTTAAACCAAGTCTTCGATAACAAACCGTCTGTAGGGCTTACATACCCACATCTAAACGGGCGGCTTCAATTCAGATCTATCAAGCGTCAAGTGGAGACTAAAATATTCAACTGTGGGAATTCTCGTAGATTCCGCCGTCTTTCTTCCCTGACCTTTCTTTCTTGAATCCCACATTGTAATAACTGGAAGTCACTTGAGTGTCCTGCAATGACTGGTACTCAGAAGGTTCACGTGACTTCCCTTCCGGAGTCCTGGGGTGGAGTTCCATATAAACACCAGGCTCTGACACTTGATGACCACCAGATGGGGCAGGGATACCACTGTTTACTGTGGTTGCTTTTTTGTTGAGCTCAGTTCGTCTCAACCGCCATATTAGCCCACCAATCACAATGAGCAAGACGAAAACAATGCAACAAAGAGCGATAACA